GTGTGATTTGGTCATTTGGGTACAGGCGCAGTGAGCCCCATACGGTACGGGCCCCCGAGGGCTAAGCGAGAAGGTTGAGGCGTTCCGTTGTCGCGTTCATGTCGGGTTTCTCACTTCCAAATTGCTGGAGCTGCAGCTACAGTGCCTCTGGTGTTTTGGGTGCCTCCGAGGGAAGTGTTTCCGTGCTTTAGCCTCCCCTCCACTGTAGATCCGGCGGGGACCAGGTTCGTAAGCCCTGTCAGTGATGCCAGCCTGCAGTTCATTTTTGGCCATTTGCTGCGTCGTATTTTCCCTTACACGTGTAGATGCCTGGGATCCGTACCTGGGTCCTTCCTTTTGGGGGTCGCTGTGTTTCTGACCGTTTTCAGGACTCGAATCAGTCCGCTGTCTTGTCTCCTTTTTCACAACCACTGCCTGCGTGCCTGTCCCCCGTGCGAGCCGGTGACAAAGGACATCCAATTCCGCTATCCACGGAGGGAAAGCATCGAGAAGGGCGGCCAGTCCAGTGACATGGCAGCTGCGCTAGCAGAGGACCGCCAGGAAGACGCACGAAGGAAGCGGCACTGGTGCAGTCCGCTTGGCCGGATTCTGGCTGCGTTAGGCACTGTGGCTGACAGGACAGTTTGGAGGTATCCGGGGCACTGTGACATACCCGGCTTTCTTGTACCATTACACCGTGCTGATATGCTCTCCGACACACATCCCCGCAACGGCCATCGTCCAGCAGCGCCCTCAACTCGAACCGAACGTCACTGCAGCGCGCTTTCCCTTTCCATCCCGAAAACACACCACCAGTCAAAGCCAGAACCGCCTCACCATCATCAGCCTTTTGCCCCGTCCCACGACCCGAGCTTGAGGAATTCTCACCGTGGCATCCTGGCCTCAACCTCCCTCTGACACTCTGTGCCTTTGGCAGAGAAGCATGGCATGCCTCACGCCTAAATGTCTCACCCTTCACACGATGCCCCGTCTAGTGTCACGGCGGTCACCATCTCCAAAAATCGACCGTCCCCAGCAGTGGAAACCCCAATCGTGGAGCACCCGAGGCCCTCTCTGCTCTACGGATACTTTACCTTCTGACTTTGTTCAAGGGCCCCAAGCCTTGTCACGTTCGCGAAATCAAGACACGCCAAACCGCCGGCCGGGGACGGCTCCCAATCGCCGCCGCCAGTCCAAGGCCTTTCTTGAGTTCCTCCTCACCCACTTTACGCACTCAGCGGGTCGCTTTGCAGACTGCCCTCCACCCCAACCTCACGCCTGCCAATCTTCCTCCCCGACAATCGTCCGTATGGGCTTAGCGTCCCGCTGGCCTGGACGGTCGTCTCTCCCGGAGTCACCTCGCGCCCTGCCTTTCACCACTCAGCAATCGCCTCTTGCCTCTGCCTATGTGCAGACTGTTCCATCATGCAACGGGAGCACGCACCGCCGCTTGGTGTGAACAATCTCACGTTTGTCTACCACCGTAGGTTAGACTGCTTGGCCTCGCCTGGCCTGATCCAGTCCGGTCTGGTCTGAACACGAAGACTTGACTGACGAAACTGAGTGGATGGATGAGCGGAAGAATGAATGGGTGATGGATCCCTCTGTGATGGATGGACGGTTGGGTCCCCGCCAACCGTCAACCGGCCCCAGTGCTACCGCTCCACGACAGGCATTACAGCGGAGGCACTGGGCAGCCAGACTGGCATCCCTCACGTCGGGTTCAGCTGCTGAGTGCTGACAAAGGCGAGCCCTGACGGCGCCGGTGCTGCGTAATGAGGTACCTGTTGTACCTTGCGGATGCTCCTGCGCGACGACGCCCCAGTGACCACACTGACTTCCCAGAAATCCCATATCTGTCCCACGCTGCAATACGTCAGAAGCGTCAAAGAAGCACATACACGATGGGGCTGCGAATGGGAGAGAACCCTTGTTTCTCGCAAACTTTACGCCGCGGATACACGTCTTCGCTTCGAGTGAATATTTCGGTGGCCTCTCCGTCTCCCGCAGGCTTGCGTGCCCTGGCAATGCATCGCCTTGCCCTACTGCTTCGTTGCCTCGTGGCAGTCGTTGGCGAACAGCGTTGGCGGGCTCCAGTTCAACACCCCAAACAAGCCCCAAAGCATGATCCACACATTCCAGGCAGTCGGCCAAGATCTGATCGCATTCGAAAAAGCTAAAGAAACACCATTCCGCACCAACGACGTTCGACAAGAACAGATTAAGCATGGGCTGCGACGATGGAAGCGTTCAATGGCCCAGCACAGGCTGTTCTGGTCTTCGACATCCCTACGGAAAGTTGTTCTTGATCTGATCCCGTCGTCTTCTCTCCAGCAACCCCCGGTGCACAAACGCACAGCGCACTCGCCGCCGCATCTCCAAGCACCATCTTCTAGCGTCTATATCCCTGTCTCCCGTCCAAGGATGCGCCAATGGAGCCCTGTCCTCACCTCCACCAGCCAACCACAGATGCAGTTCGCGACGCGGTGGAGGAGAAGAGGCGAAGGGTAGCAGCCATCACGACTTTGAGCCAAAGGGAAAAAGAAAGACGTACTCGACCAAATCGACCCTCATGGGACAAGACTACAGCAGGCAAACACGCTTTTTCTCACTGTGCCATCTGCCCCATAAGACAGGGAACCGGACACGCTCCGGCCGGTTCAGTCATCAGCCAGCCCCTCCCTCTCAACTATCGACATGCCTGCGTGCATTTGCTGCCCACTGCTCCACCATCCACAAGTCACAACTCTCGTCACGCCAAAGTTGCACGGCGATACAATCTGCTCTTCCGTCGACCACCATTAGACCGTTCTTGAAATGGTGAATCTGCTGGCCGAAGAGTCAACATCTTTGTGCTCGCAAGATCGAGGGGCATCCGAGAGTGACCCGCAACCGCGGCGACGTTTGCTCACGGCCTCTGCAAAGGTCCCCATTCGGACGTGGCGTAAAGTGCGTGCATGACTCCAGGACATCGAATCCGTGGCAACCGAGACCAGACAGGCATAGGCCCAGATACCGTGCCTCGCTGCGAAACATTGGTGATGGGAAGCCTAGAAGAACCTACCTATATTTCCCCCTCATTAAAGCCTGGAATAAGTTGGGGTTGCTTGACTATTATTCGTTGTTGTCAACATTGGCGCTGCCAAACAACGGCCTTCCTTATTCAACATTGGCACCATCATACTCTACGACAAGCAATCGTACCCGACCCGGTCTCGCGAGTATCGAGGGCGAGCCTGGCTATCTCCGCCCCTGCCTCACAGGTCGAGATTCATCATGGCCATATGCCACCCCGACTGACAGCTGCGAAGTTTCAGTCTGTTGAGGGGAGACAGTCCGCCGGGCCATCCAGTGTCTTTTTCTGTTTCTGCAGCTCGATCCGTGCTTATGTCACAGCCTGTCGTTCGCGTGCTCCGCCCAAAACTTACCCGGGTGTACCATTCTTCAGCTCTCGGAATTCTGTCCAGAGTCCAGACATACGGGTCTCAACTTCTTGCAGCCGTGACATTCCCCAAGGGAACCCGAACTTCCGTCACCAGTCGCCAAATGAAGCAGCCCAGGTCCAGATCTACGGGCATCACAGAAACCTCTATGGGGGGAAAAGGTAAAATGCAAAGTCGCAACCAATGATACCGCACAAGATCCTGCTAGAGGTCGTGGGCAGTAGTCATGACTAGCTCCTTGTGGCATTTCATATCTATCTCACCTTTGAAGCATTCAACGCACCGTCCCGCCTGAGGCCAGGGCAGCTCACCGCAGCCGGCGTTCTGAATGCGCAGCGAGGTAACCTCAAAATAGTCTCTAGTTGGGGCACAAACGGGGGGCCCATCCACGGGCCGTCCTGAGAACAGACTAGAAGGAGCGGAAGACACGCCTCGTCAAGTACCGTCGCGGGCGGACGTGCGATCGGTTTCTTACCCGCCAAACGCCCTTTCTCCAGCCTTTACAACGCACCTATTGAACCCCGCTGACCCCTCCTCGCCGGCTCGGCTGGTGGCGATTCCCTTTACGCCAAGTGCAGCGTCCCCAAGTCTTGAGGTGGTGGTGTGCTAGTGGCACCGGCTGCCCACCCGTATGATTTCATTGTTGTTACCAAACTATCTCTCTCTGTGTGTCTCTGTCGTCGTCACGGCATCTGATTACCCCGTCGGACACATTTCCAAGTGTTTATTACGGGACCGAGAAACCGTCTGAACCAAGACGTAACCCGCGTCGACGTCAGCAAGAACAAAAGACGTCCCGAGGGGCAGACAAGCGTCAGCAGCTGAAACGGTTTTACACATGTCTTTCTGTGTGTCTCCTGCAAGATCTCGAAATCTTACATGCGGCTTTTCCACATCCAAGAAGCTGTCCAGAAGTCTGCAGGACGCCTGGCTGCGCCATCCATGAGCTGTCACTATTAAGCCTCGCGCGCGCCGCTTCCCAAGCCACATCCATACCTCGTCTCACACATTTAGAGATCGACCTACGCCGACGTGGTTTACAAGAGCCCACACATCTTCACATCGCCTTGCGCTCAGCCTGTGTTCAGCTTCAAGAACGGGATGACCCGGGGTCTGCTATTACGATGCCCTCTATCTAGCGTAGTCTCATGCGTATGTAAGCAGGCCTTGCATGGCCGAGGGCGTTTTCGCCCGCTGGACGATCTAGACGACGATGAACGATCTAGATGACGATGCCCCGTTCAAATGAGGCATGATCTCTATACAGCTCACTCCATGGGCATCCTCCCACGTACAGAGCACAGTCAGATGTGAGATCGACGGAGCTCCCGTGCCAAGGAGAAACTTGGGGCGTGAAACGCTTAACACATCCGATCTGACACCGGATTCCCAGGTGCGCTTGTTCTGGGGACGGAGATCCCCCTGATTGACGAATGTGAAGACCTCTAGAAGAGCTTCAAAAAGACGCTCGGCAAGACCTTCCCCTCGGCTCAGCATGATTTACGTTGAAAGATCAGGTCCCCGACAGAGCCTTTGTGCGGTATTTCACGACGACCGTCTGGATGCATGGCAAGTAGTCTAGATACCCCTGTTGAACCACACCATGCCGTTCTCCCCGCCACGGCCGTGGAACTCGGGCTCGAGCTTGTCGACGCTGATGCTCTCCTTCTGGGGGAAGACGGCGAGGGCAAGAGGCAGGACGGCGTAGCTCGTCACCAGAATGAGACCGAGGTTGATGGGCACAGTCATGCGGGGGCGCTGCTTCAGCCACTGGGTCTGCTGCAGACGGACGAGGACAAGGGGCGGGATGACCATGATGGGCGTGGAGTTGAAGACGCGGCTGGCGGCCGTCTCGCCGACGGCGATGGTGGCAGCCTTCTTGCTGCGGCCGAGGGACTGGACCTGGGCGCCGTCGCCGCCCTCCGCCTCCTTCTTCTTGCGCTCCTCGTCCGAGACCACGGGGAAGACGTCAATGCCCTTGCGGATCTCCTCGCCGCGCATGAGAAGGACGTTGAGGGCACCAGCGGAGGCCACGGCGGCGAAGGGAACGAGACGGGTCAGGGTCGTGCGGGTCGCCGGGGAGAGGGAGCGGAGGCGGGGGACGAGCTTGTTGAGGCCGACGGCGACACCGCAGGAGACGGAGACGGCCATGGCGTAGGACTCGCCGAGCTTGCGCCAGGTCAGGGGGGAGGATTTGTTCGCGTTTGCAGAGTTGATTGCGACGTTGAGGGACTGGTTGACAACTTGCCATGCGATTGTTCCTGCTGTCTATCGGGGTTGTTAGATCGGTCTCGGAGTGTAAGTGCCGGGCGGCAGGGGGAAGATGGAGACTCACGCCGAGTCCGGGCTGGAGCATGCCGGCCGTGACGACCAAGTTGGTCAGGACGAAAGCGGACATGCGGAAGGGGAGGAGGACCGGTTCGCCGGTGTCTGGGGGCCGTTTGCCTGTGTTAGCCGGAGCGCAACGAGCCCGCGCGCGGGGGAGTTATTGGGATCGTGGGCTCGTCGCACCTGGATGGAGGGTAGAGTCGACGACCTTCTTGGCCTTCCAGAGCTCTGGCGTCATCGTCGGGATCTTTCCTTGCTTGTAGTCGCTGAGGAGGGACTTGGCTTGCTCGAGACCGGTGCTGCCGACGAGCAGAGTGCTGTAGATCGCGACATGTTAGCATTGGGTCTGTAAGAGAGACGGCTTGTGCCATCGCGCCGCGGCGGGGTGGGTTGCGCGAGAGAGAACTCGTACCTTGGGTCGGTCAGGCCCATGCTGTGTCGTGCGCGTCCCCAGTAGGTGCTGAGGTCATACTGGGAGGCGGGCAGCTCGCGGCTGCCGGGCAAAGAGGCGGACATGTTGTAAAAGCTGTGGTTTATCCAGAAAACACCAAGGAAGAGGTTCAGAGAGGAGGATCGCGAACCTCGCCCGCTTCGCAATTGAAGGCCGCCCAGAGGTCGTGAGGGGTAAAGTAAGGAGAGGGGTAACGCGGTCGACGGGAGCGGTGCCGACGCTGTGGTACGGCCACTGCTGAAGGAGGGGGGACGGCGGTGAGGTTTTTGGGGAAAAGGCGTGTATGACGGCTTTGCGAAAGGCGTGGTTGAGAGATGTGCTGCAAAATGGGTATCGTCGGATGTGCTCCCGATCTCGGTAGGTGGTGGAGTGTAGGGGTCTTTGGCGGGCAGGCCTTGAAGGAGATAAGGACGGCGGGTGGTGACGGGTGGGAAGGGGTGGTATCGGTTGGCTGCGGGCTGCATGGACGGGATCGTTCTGATTGATGTCCAGAATGCAGCGCTAGCAGCTATGGTTTAAGCATCCTTCTGAGAAGGCCGTGACAATCGGCGAAAGGTAGAAATTACATTATCATGGAGCACAAAAGATAAAACTTATTGACAAACAGTTCAATCTGTGACAAACAGTTCAATCTGTCTTCGTGATAGCGGCATAGATCAATATCGCGAGGGCGTCGGTGAAAAAAAGCAAAAGATAACGCGACCTACCTAGGGATCGAACCTAGAATCTTCAGAGTATGGCTTGGAGGCAGCCGAAATCTGACGCGATGCCATTTCGCCAGCAGGCCCATGCTGGTTGATGAACAGTGTTGGTAAAATGTGTGATATAAAGCCTGCATGAAAGTGGGGCAGAATGAGGGGTCGTCCAGGTAACAAGGCCTCAATGCCAGCCGACAGTTGTCACGCCTCGGTGCTATAGGTGTCGCAGTCTCTTCTATCCTTTGTGTTACTAGCCATGTCATTGATTGTAGGTATGTTGATTGGTGGTGTCATTCACCTGCTGGCTTCGTGTCACTATGAGGTTCACTTCACTTGTAAGACCCGAAGGGTTACGTGACACAGAAACACTCAGAAGCAAAATTGTTCCCTAAGGGTCAGCGACGACAGCGCAGACTACTCATGACGTATAGAGGCCTTGAACCGAGGCATTTTACGAATTGAAATACGACAACAAATGCATTGCCCTCACTTTCGTCGTCTAGGCCGAGAACAATACAGACGCCGCCAGCGTCCACCAAGCAGAGAATCGTGGGAGAGCATCTATCGATTGATTCAAGTACGGGCTTTCGCCGCTATCTATGGCCCTGGAAATCCTCCCACGTCCATCAACATTCGCTCTCGTGACCCCCAATGATATCGGCTGCCTGGAGCGCCAAGGCGTACATGGCAACCTGTAAGTTGGCGGAAATAGACCTTGGGAAGATGGACGAATCCGCAACGAAGAGACCGTCGACATCCTTGACACTGAGGTCAGTATTGACGACCTTGCCCATGGCAGCAGTCCCGCTCGGGTGGAAGCAAGAACTATTTAGAGGTCAATTTTGAAAATATTATATCAAGACGAGGGAGCGGAAAACGTACCCTGCCACTTGCCGAGCCCGGGCAGCGAATGCCTCGTCAGCAGAGTCCACCGTAAGTGGCGCATCAGCTGCCAACTCGCCATCGAGGATATCACGACCAACTGGCGTGACATCGCTTCCAAGGAGCCTGGTGTCAAACTTAAGAGCTTCGCGCACAGCGTGTCTGTCGACTGCCGTGCTGAGGTAGTTGGGGCCAATGACAGGGTAGTCGCTAATGTTCGCCGACGAGATGCCCACGGAACCCCGCGAGGTGTCAATAAGAACGATGGACAGCATCAGCATAGCGGAGCCGTCTGTTGAAGCGCCGCTGTACTGCAGGGAGTGAGAGACATGTGCCCGGTCCTGACGGAGCAGGGGATGATCTGGGCCTGGCTCGATGCCCTCATCTTCCGCGATGGCAGCGGCGAGACCTTCTTTGGGCAGGGTAGTCGTGGCGAGGAAATCAATCTTGTTGCCTAGCCCGTACTGAGGCTCCTTGAAAAGGGGGTTTTCCGACTCATAAGCCCAGCCCTCGGAGACGTTCTTGACCTTCCAGGCTGTGGGCATCAGGATGTGATCATGGAGGTTCTGGCCAACGTCAGGTTGGTCAAGCTTCACCTCGATGCCATGCTTCTTGAGATTCTCGGCGGGGCCCGACGCCGGAGAGCATCAACAGCTGAGGAGTGCGGTAGGCACCCGCGGTGAGGATCGTCTTGTGGCCGAGGTACTCTGTTCCGTTCTGCAGGCGGATGCCCTTTGCAACAACGGAGCTACTATTTAGACGCTTTTCGACGAGAATTTGCTTAACCATGGTGTTCGTCAGAACGGTGACCCCATCCAAAGGGAAGGCCTCTGATGAGAGTTGTCTGCGGCCCTCTGCTCGGTTCTCTTGCAGGTCACCGTACCCAATAGGGTTTCCCGCGTTGGCATCAAGTTGCGGCAGAGCAGAGACACCGAGGGCTTCGTAGGACTCCGCCAGCTTTTCGCGCATAGGGAACTGACGGTTCATGGGAGTAACGCCCTGGATAACCATGGAGCCGTTGGAGCCGTGCTGAGAAAGGTTGATGCTGGTGTCGAAGAACTTCTCGGTCAACTTCATGTAAGGAAGCTGGCTTTCGTAGCTCCACCTACTGTCGCCAACTTCTTCCGCCCAAAGATCATAGTCTACTGTGTGGCCACGAACCCAGGCCGCTGATGATTCACGTCAACAGAAAGCTTTGAGGGATTGCGAATAAAAACGGCTATGCGAGCTGAACTTACTCCATTGATGGCTGTTCCTCCTCCAAGAGCCTTTCCAGCCGGAGAGGCAATTGAGCGGTTGTCGAGGTTTACCTGTGGGACAGAAGCATAACCCCAATCGAGATCACTTCCGGCCCCAGTACTGGTGTTGGGGTAGGCGATGGCCTCGAGACCATTGACGCTGGGGCCAGCTTCAACCAGGAGGATCCGCAGAGTAGGATCCTTGTGAAGGAGACGGTTGGAAATGACCGAGCCGGCAAGGCCACCGCCAACGACGATGAAGTCCCACAACGACATGACGATGAGATAGCAGAAACGGTTTCTCAGCGAATCGAGGAGCAAATGTGGCCCGCGTGAAGATAACGAAGAGAAGTCATGAGTGCAGACACGAACAAGCTCGCTCTTTATGGCACGCTGCTTTGGAGCTCACTTAACATGTGAAGCGATTTGCCTGCATTTGCTGGGGTATCCGTTAGGTCTGGCCATTGTGGCACAGGATCAAGAGGAGGACCTTGGAACAGATTTCCTGTAGCTGCATAAGAAACCAACGGAGCGTAGCTGTGGTATTGGAGAAAATATCTGGACATTGGTGTGAAAGGCACGAAGTCAGGGTCTTAGATGCAAGAGTAGATTGGGTGTCCGCACCGGCGAGTCTGGGTTGCAACATCGACCCTCTGCGGAGCCGGATCAACTTCCGAAAGGATGTTGGCCATACTTCGATCTCAGAGTTGCGATCCAATCGAATGTGCGGACATCATGTCCCCGGGCCGTGATACATCGGCTATGCTATGCCACTTCTTTGCGTCCGGCTTGGCAGGACTCGTGCAGATTTCCCCTTCTGTTCCAACAGGCGCCTGTGCCGCAGAAACTGAACCTCGAAGCGCAGTCTTGTGAAAGCTTGCGGAAGTCGTGGATCGTGACGTTTTAAATTAAGTATCCTGACTATGTTTTCTGTCGTTTTCATTCATCTCTCGCCGTGGACTTCACAACAACCTCTGACTTAACCCAGATATCATGATTTGCACCCTTTCCTGACCCGTTCGACCATCCTCGATTATGTCCGTCTCGTGTCTCGCGTGTTGCGGCTCTCCTGAGCTCGGGACCGAGAATCGATTCAACGCTGTTGTTGTCGCCATATTCGTCTTTGCCGTTTGATCTTTCGGTGCCGCTCGTTTCGTAACCGCCTCGTTCGCCGATGCGGCATCCCAAATCCAGCTCTGGAGTCTTTAGGCCGATGCGGACGGTGTAGTCGGTGCCTCCAATCGTTCTCATCATGAAAGATCCAGTCATGTCTCTGGTATAAGGACCGGTGCGTTTGCTGCCGCTTCGGGATGTCCATAGGTTGAGCCACTCCTTGAACAGAGGGCGGCAGACTGGAATGCCGATGCACACCTAGGACAGTGAGTGAATGTCTTCAGTTTTACTTGAAAGTATCTTACCAAAGTTGTGGCAAGCTCAGCCGCGTGCCAGACTATCAGGCCAACAGTATCCTCTGCAAATCAATCGCATCAGTGACTGGCCCTCACTTTCGCCACAGCCAACTCTCAAATCCAGGACAACTCACTAGTGAAGTTGGCACTGCTCAGATTCTTCAACTCCAAGGCTCTCAGGATGCCACAACCTCCAGCACTGAGAGCAATCAGTTGATGTCCATAATCCAACTCCAGGAGGTTGACTTACATGACGCCCAGACTCATACTCATGTTGATGAGAAGCTTCTCCTTCTTGGGCATCTGAAGGTTCCAAAGCAGAGCCCATGGCGTGACCGCGTACCAGAAATCGACCACCACACTCCAGATTCCGGCTGCCGTCGCAATCGGGCCCGGGTCGATGGGACATGAGCCGCCTGGGAGAAGTCGATCCCAGAGAAATTCGACCGGCGTACACGAGAACCAGAAAACGCATAGCGACGCGACCACGAAGATACCGAGGATGATGACCGGAAAGAGGATGATGAACTGGTGTAGGCGGGTAGTTACCAGTCGGAGTAGGAACAACGCAAGGGACGTCTTGGAGACGACGGTGCCGAAGACGAGGATAGTCTGCCCGATGGCTTCGTATAAGATGGCTCGAGAAATGTCGTAGGATGTCTCGAGTTCCGTAATATCCCTGCCGAAGCCGTAGAACGATGCGATCGTGATCATGACATCGTAGGCGATGAAGAGGACCTATCAACACAAGAGTCAGAGGCGCATGGCTCGTTCAACATCACTACCGCGAACACTCACAAATGAAAAGTTGAAGAAATGGTCATCCATCCCGTACGCCGAGAGCACACCCAGCCGCGTCCACAGGCGCAGGATGACGAAGCACAATGCCATGGCAGTCAAGCCCCAAAGGACGCCCAGCGCCATGGGCGCATCACCGCCTGGTCCAATCATCGTGCCTCTGGTGTCGACCTCGAATGGGAGACAACGAAGAAGAGGAGAGAGAGGACGAGAGAGAGTCGATCCCGGATCCAGGTAGGGCGCAGACGTCACTTAAAGCTCCGTGGTTCATCTGGCCATCCCTACACCTCCACGAGTCAATCTAGGACGGGGAACAGGAGAGGAGTGGTACTGGATCTGGGGAAGGGCAATGAAGGCCAGACTTGTACTCCAGTCATCGACAGACCTCACGGGAGCGCTGCGAGGAATACGGCTTGGCGGCCCCCCGTAGGCCCTTTCATATCTACGAAATCCACCGCACACGGGGACATCGGTTGACAGGTCGATCCCTGACCGAAAGAAGACGCCCCGACGCACTCTGTGGACTGGTTCTGCGGCGGCCCCTGGCCCAAGTCAAACGGAGGGCTGAGGGGATCGTCAGCCATGTGCAAGGATGCCATCTCGAGCGTACCCACCCAGAGGTCACAGCACACACGCGGCATTGGAGGCCCGTCCAAGATTTCGAGAAGCATGGCCCGCATTCCATGGCGCCAGCCACGGATCGGGGGCCGATTTTTCTTCAACGGTTTGATTGCATGGCATCTTGGTTTCGTCAATTTTCCCTTTCCGGCCACGAGAAGGGAGGGGCTACATCCCACCCAGGGACCGGCATCAAGTGGTGGTAAAATCCTTGGAAACTTTCCGTACCTGAATCAGCAACGAGCTGACGGAGAGTTCATGCAGCAGAAATCATTGGATGAAGCCTCAGTTCGAAGGCTGATCCTGCGAGTACTTCATTGCACGCGCTACCTTGTCGTCGGCCGTCTCATCAGTCGGCATCCAAGTCGTCGTGCCGTCTTAGCTTCTTCCTGAGCGCAACCAGCTGAGCTCAGTTCGCCAACCAAGACGACCTCTGCCGAGTTCCTAAAAAGAGCCGTGACATCGTCTCCCAAATCTTTCCGTGGTTCGTCTAACCGGACGGAGATTGAACCTCAGATGGCTGCTAGCCCTTGGGGGGAATATGCCTCCGTAAACCAATCACATGTGCCGGATATGTTGTGCTCTGAGAGAGGTCCGAGAGCCGGCGTCCGGGCCGCTGCCGCGTTTCTTCGAATCCCCGCACCCACGACCAAGTCTTCCGTCTTTGGACTACTAGCAGGCAGAATTGTTCACACACTAAAATCCTCGAATTCGAAGGAGAGCGAATCGTCATTGAATGGATCCAACCACTTGACTTAGAGCTGCCATGAAACAAAGTCTTGAGCGAACCGTTGGCCGACCATGCTCTTGGAGAGAGAGAAAACAAAAAAAAACCCCTCCTGGTCCCAATTTTTCACACCAGCATCGCTGACCGCATATTACGGGAGCGCTGTGGGTTCGCAGTCCTCCATCGCCAGGGTGACTCGTCAACTGAACGAATAAGAGCCTCCCTGGCGTCGCAGCAGCGATGGCGATTTTGGGTTATTTTCCCGATGCCGGCGAGAAATGAGCACAATGCGACGACAGCATGAAATCCTTCGCGCGCGTAAATTCCGGAAGGATTTCGTTCTGGGCTTGTTGAGTGTTGATCCCTTCCAGGCTTCTACTTTCCGTCCACGCCAACCGTCGCCAAGTTCTAGAACTGCCGCGACGTGGAGATGCCACGCGGGAGACTCGTGATTCGCATCGACGAAAGTGGCAATGGATGAACCGAGCACGGGCGATCCGGGTGATCTAGCGCAGACCGGCGCCTGGGACTAGGTGTTACAGGGAACTTCTAGTAAACGAAGTCGAACTCCGCGTTTTCGTATTTGATTCGATATGCGAACCGGCGAGTCTAGTGTTGGATGAGCTTCTGTTGTTTTTTCTAACGTCCAAAACGCTGGATCACCGCTCGGACTTTGCGTTCATTCCAGATGGGCGGTCACGAAGCTTCCAAACAGCCGCAGGCGATTCTTTCCCTCTTCCACGTTGCGACGTCTTCTGACAGGCCTTTCCACGCGGCATCGAGTCAGTGCCCCCAGCGCGCCCTGCATGTTTGTTTCCTCTGCCACCTGTCCCTCGCGTGTTGTGGTGGTACTGAGTCCACCGGGCTCCCTGTGAACCCCTGGTCAAATGACGCCGGCGCTGTTATTTCGGTTCCCTTCACAATTCGGTGGCAGCAACACCGTCGCACCCGGGGCCGGTTGTCAACACGATGAACCACCGATTGCAGTATTGTCCACAACAGCTACAACGCGCTGAAGGCTCCGCGACTCCGGTCCAAGAGCCTCATGACTAGGACGTGTTGCCTTCGCTACGACCCTCTTACCGAACCGACGTTTTTCATATATTTAACATGTAACGTCGGCGCCGAAAAAGGCTTCATGGCACGGTTGTTGGAGACGAGTGGGGGGAAGCATGTGGGATCACGTCTTTTGTGTGTGGATTTCCCTTGATGCGGTCATTGACCCAGTGCGTTGCGGAGTGCTGTGAGACCTTGACCTTGACAATGATGCAACCGGTTCCTGAGCTCAGATCTCTGGTTTCTCGTCGGTTATATTGCTCTTTACTGGACTTGCCTTCTAATCGCAGTATTGTTAAAGTGGGAAATGGTTTGTTTGACGATACAAGCTTGCGATCAAGCCGAACGAAACCTCGCGCAGAACCATTTCTACTCGTATTTTTCTTGGCAACTGTTTCAATTGGCATACTGAGAGCCAGAGTTGATGAGATCTTCCACCATCAAAACCTAATCGCGAATGTCATACGGGAGAACGATAGACCAAAGGATCCAATGCCGGAGGTTATGTTAGCTTGCTTGTGCTCCAAACTGCTGCAGATCGCTGTGAAATATCAGCGCCTGTGAAGGGAGGTTCGCTGGATCCATCGAGGAGAATGATAGTGTTCTTATCATCGTCGCCAGAGTATTCGTTCTTCACCGTGATGGTACCAGCAACCCTATGCACCTCT